TCTTGGGAGGTGGTGTTGATGCCTTGTAAGAATGCAATCACTGGAGAAGAACTTGATTATTCTTACAACATATGTAGACACACTTTAGCCTTTTAGGTTCCATCATGTCCAACCATGACAAGTGTTTCTTGAGTAGCTTTTGAAGTTCACTCTAGACCTTAATAGACACCAAATTGAAGAAGAGCATAACCTTCTATCAGCAAATTGATGACTAAAATAAAGTAGTTGTTAGAAATAAAATAAAGAAGATGTTATTTATGTTTGATATGGTGGTCCCTACTTGTACACGTTAGGAGGGAGAATTTTCCTCAATAGAGCTGCGATATTTTATCATGTAGTTGGGAAAATTTTAACTATTATCAAGAGAAATCTTAGCTATTATCATGCCTCCACAAGACGGTGTTCCTGTCAAGAATGCCGATCTTGGACCGATGCGATGAAAATGGTTTACAGGCGAAAGGCTTCATGAGTGACTCTGCTAGTTGATCAGTCATGTATGTATGTGAGAAACATGTAAATATTGTTTGATAACTTATTCTTACATGAAGTGAAAGTCGCTGGTTATGTGTTTCATGTATGAGTGGAATACTGGATTGAGACATAGGTAAGTGGCTCCAATATTGTCATAATATATTGTTGGAGTAGAGGTAGAGTTGATGTCAAGTTCCTTGAGTATATTCGTGACCCAATTGAGTTATGCAGCAATGGTTGCAATTTCATGATATTTAGCTTCAGTTGTAGATCGTGCAATTATCTTTTACTTCTTAGAACTCCAATTGACTAGATTAGCTCCAAGGAAGATAATATACCCTGACGTGGATGTTTTGTCATCAAAATTCTCTACCCAATCAGCATTAATAAAGGCATGGAGATGAATAGAGGAGTGTTTACAAAAAAAGAGGCTATGATTGAGAGTCCTGTGAAGATATCACAAGATTCGTTTAACTGCAAACCAATGCATAGTAAATGGTCGATTCATGAATTGTAATAATTTATTTACCGCAAATGAGATATCTGGATGGGTGAGAGATAAGTACTTGACGGTATTGAGTTAGGTCCGTAGTAGCGCTTCCATCATATAGTTTGAGTGACTCACTAGTAGACAAAGGAGTTATAACCGCTTTTGCATCCTACATATTCATCTTTGATAACAGATTTTGAATATACTTTCTTTATGATAGGAAGAGTCTTGTATATGTTGCTTCCACTCCCAAAAAGTAGCTTAAGGTTCCTAGATCTTTAAAGGAGAAACGATCTGCTAAATGCTTGAAGAATGCCTTGATTTCCAGAGGATTATTGTCCATGACAATAATATCATCCACATATACCAGAAGATATATTGTATTGCTACTTTGGTGACGGAGAAATAATGAGGTATCAGACTTGGAGTTGATGAAGCTATTTGATGTCAAAAACGAGCCAAGTTCGGTGTACCAAGCTTTTGGAGCTTGACAAAGTCCATAAATAGCTTTTTGGAGTTTACAAACATGCCTTGAATACTAAGAGTGGATGAAGCCAGTAAGTTGCTGCATAAAAACATCTTTAGTTAGAGTCCCATGTAAAAAGACATTATTAACATCAAGTTGTCGTAAATGCCAACCTTTTGAGATAACCAAACTCCAAATGAATGTGGGTTTAACAACGGGAATGAATGTCACTATGAAGTCAACACTAGGATGTTAATAAAACCCTTTGGTCACTAGATGTGCTTTATATCTGGCAACGGATCCATCTGAGTTCTACTTAATTCGAAAGACCCACTTACACCCGATGATATTTTGTGTGGGATGAGTGAGTACAAGAGTCCATGTAGAATTATGGAGGAGGACATCATATTCTTCACATATAGATTTAAGCTAGTATAGAGATTTTTGAGCTTGAGTAATTGTGGTAGGTTCATAGGTCTCTAACGAGGATTTTGTGATAACATGTAGGTCAAGGATTTATCATAGTTTAAAGATACCACTTTTGGATCGTGTTATCATTAGATGTGTAAGGGCTATAGGTTATGTTGTAGGTATGGGCAGTGGAGATGTACCGACACTGGTTTGAGGTACTTTAGTATCACTGGTCCTAGGTAGTGGTTGTATTGGCATTACTTCAGTAGTTAGGGAACCTTGTGAAGAGGGGAGAAGAGCAATGGTGGGAGTGAGGAGCTGCTGAACTGGGAGAAGAAGATAGTGTGGATATTGAGGAGAAGGACTGGATAGTGTTATAGGATCAATAGTGTACTCTAGTGATGTATATTTGTTGGAGTAGGGTGCACAACAGGAAACTCAGGGTTTTGAAATAGAAAGGTAGACTCCACAAAAATAACATGATGTGATATAAAGACTTTTTGAGTTTGGAGTTCGTAGCATCGAAATGCATTATGTTCAAAAGAGTATATAATGAAAGTGCAAGGCTTAGATTTTGATGTTATCTTATGCAAGACATAGGAACGTAGCCATGGATAACATAAACAGTCAAATACTTTGAGTTTTGAAAGGTTTAGAGATTTATAAAATAAATTTTCAAATGGTGACTAGTACTAGAGGACTGGAGTGAGCATATGATTGATAATATAGACAGTAGTTAGAAAGGCTGCAGGCCAAACGGTTGTTGGCATATAGGCTTGATGGAGGAGTGTGAGACTAGTTTCAACTATATATCGATGTTTGCGTTTAGCAGAACCAACTAGTTGAGAAGTATCTAGGGGTGACTTAAGGTATTGTATACCACAAGCTGAGAGATAGGATGTGAGAGCTTGATATTCACCATCGCCATCAGAGTAAACTTTTTTAATTGTAGACTAAAAGAAGTTCTCAACTCACTTTCTAAAGTTGAAAAATATTATTGAAACTTTAGATTTATGGTGGAGAGGGTATAATTATGTATACTTGGTAAAGTAGTCAACGAAAATGACAAAAAATCTAAACTTATCAAAAGAAGTGATTGGGGCAGGGCCCCAAACATCGGTATAAATAATTTCAAAAGGTTTAGAGCAAGATATGGAAGAAATTCTAAAAGAAAGTCTATGACTTTCATTGCTTAAAACGAGAAAGTAATTTAGATAAAGGATGAGGGATGCCCAAGACAACAATGCCACACATCAACTAGAGCTGCAATGGAAGAGTAGACAATGTGCTGGGTGATTTGTGGAATTGACAACCACTCATATATATTGTCCTTACATTGGCCTCGGACTAAGGATGCCCCATGCTCAAATCCTTGACAAGAATGGAGTTAGGAAAGAATTCAATTAATGTATTATTTTGGTTGAAGAATTGAGAAACGACAATAAGATTTCGTTTGATGTGAGGTGCACACAAAACATCATCATCAAGTGTAAAAGTTGTGTTATATAAATTAAGTATTGTGGAACTAAGTAATGAGAATTCTTTTACCATCACCAATGATGATATCTTCATTTTCGTCATAGTTGTTATGAATGTACAAGTTTTGTAGATTAGAGGTAATGTGATGGGATGCACCAGAGTTCATAATCCAATTGTGTTGATTGGTATTCGGAGTAGTTGTGAGATTTGCTTGGGGCCAATGTAATGGAGGAGTAAGTTTGCGTCGAGATCAACAGACTTTTGCAGAGTATTCGACTTTGTCATACAGTTGGCAGACAATTCTTTGTTGACTTGGATGTTCAGGATGTTAGGGCTGAGGATAATTGAAGTAGTCGTCTTGATAGTTATGACTAAAATGTTGATGCTATGGAGGAGGGATGGTTTGTTTGGAGCTCATAAGTTCATGAGGCATCTTGGTCAAACCTTTGTTAGCAATCTTATTATACTGGTTGCCCCTCCTTTTAGATTTTTAACTAACTTGAGCTGTGATGGATGATCTTGATAATTTGTCCTCTCGCTTGAGATATATCTCAAAGTTAGTCAACTTGTCGTAGAGTTCTTCGAATAACATTGGTGAGTCATGTGCCCGCATTGCTGCTACTAGTTCCTTGTACTCGTCCCCAAGGCTGTTAAAGGTGTGGACTATGACTCCTTCATCACTGACAGAATGACCTATCAAGGCTAAGTTATCGATGATAACTTTTATGTTTTATAGATAATTGACAATAGTACTTCCCTTTTATTTTATTTTCATGAGGTTGGATAGGAGACTAAGCATATGAGTATGTGAATGATTTGCCAAGGTGGTTTGCAACTTGCACTAGGCTTCGGTAGTAGTGTTACATAAAGACATGAGTAGGGCAAGGGATCCAACGACTGAGACTTGAATTGCTTGGAGGATGAGACGATCTTGATGTAATCATAGTTTGTGGTCCGGATTTGATATTAGATTGGGTGCTCCTGGATGCTGAGCATCGTTGGTGGACAACGGAGAGAGTCATCAACGTAGCCTAGTAGATCATAGCCAAATAGGAGATTAGAAAATTGAGCACGCTAGGATGTATAGTTACTACCTTTGGATAATTTAAAGGGGATGAAAGTTACAACATTGATGGAAATAAGGCTTATAGAGGGAAAAGAACTATGGTTTCCTATATGGATAGTAATTGGAGCATCAAATGTAAATGATGAGGACATGTTGAGGATATGTACTAATCTAAGGAAGCAAAGTGGGACTCTGCACCAAGGTGGGTGAGAAGACTACTACGATTTGGTGCAATGAGTCATACTTCTTCCTTGGGACTGTTGCTGCAACGACGGTAGTGATGCCGGTGCAGATCAGCATCGCTTGAGGTGGGTTGCTGGCAGACGAGTTCTTTGTTAGATGTGTTTAGCTCTGTGCAGACTGGTTTGGTTGTTCAATATTGAGCAAAGCTGTAGATCTTCGATCAGCAGTTCTTGCAGTTGAGGATTAGGGCGGTGAAGAATGGGAAGAGTAGTGCGGGTGCGTCGTCGGTGAGGACTCGAAGGAGGAAGACTCGAAGTAGAGATGTTGTATAGGTTCCAGTGAGCTGAAGGTGCGGCCTGGAGGAGCAGGTCTGTTCTGCTGCAAGCTGTGCTTGTGGCAGTTAACGGCGAGGCAGCGGTTCGCAATAAGCGACAATGGCTGCGATCGGTGCAGATTATAGCTTGCAGCTGAGTTCAGTGGACGAAAGGGCGATGGAGTCTGAGGGAGAGGAGCCCTCGGTAGAGGAGGCAGATAGCAAAATCATAGAGCCAAATTGAAGGAGACTTCGACGGAGGAAGAAGCGGAAGGAATCTTCAGTAGAAGACTTCAGTTGGCGAGGGAGCAACAATTGGTAGTAGAAATAGAGGCTACGACTATGCTTCCTTTAGGAGCGTCAGCCACGAAGAAGAGAAGATGCTGATGTAGGGAGGATAAAACTGGCAGCGGGGTGATGTCGGACAGCGAGAAAGAGTTTCTTCCGAATTGACTGTGTGCTTTATGAGTTTGGGCTTATTTGAATGGTTCTCTAGTTGAATGGAGTTGCAATGTATCGGGAAGGGGCAGCCAGCAGTGAATCAGAGCGCTCCTACGGTAAGTTCTGGCGCCAGTTTCGGCTACCGAACAATGTCGATCTCAACTTTGTGAGTGCCAAGCTAGAGGACGGTGTGTTGATAGTGGCGCTTCCGAAGCTAGCACCGAAAAAGATCAGGGGCCCCCGGGTGGTGAGCATTGCCGGCGGAGACGATGCAAGAGACATGGAGAAGCTTCAATGGAGCAGCAACGAAGACAAGAAGGTGGATCTCTAAAGGACCATTGTGTTGTGTGCATCTCCTATCAGCTTATATCTACCCATCCATGTTGAGTCGAGAGCTATAGGGTTAAAGGAGGAGCTGAAGATAGAGGTGAAGGAGAATATGAGAAATAAAATGATACCATGTTAGAAATGAAATAAAGAAGATATTATTTATGTTTGATATCATCCCCATGTTGAGTCGAGAGCTATAGGGTTAAAGGAGGAGCTAAAGATAGAGGTGAAGGAGAATATGAGAAATGAAATGATACCATGTTAGAAATGAAATAAAGAAGATATTATTTATGTTTGATATCATGCTCCCTATTTATATACGTTAGGAAGAGGATTTCCCTCAAAAGAGCTATGATATTTCCTCGTGTGGTTGGAAAAATCTTAACTATTATCAAAGAAAATATTAGTTGTTATCAATAGTGAACTATACCATGGTTCATCTCCTTTGAGAATATAACTCTCTGACTCTCAAGACATGGGATGAAATCTACCTTCAATTTGCTTTCAACCAGGCAATATATAATTCTACAATAAATCATTATTTGAGGTATGCTTAAGTTATTTATATCAAAGTTCTTTTGACCTATAGTTTGTGATCGATTCAAAATCAATTACCTTCGACAAAAGCAATATAACACAAACAAGCCCAAAATTTTTTGGAGAATATCCGTAAGGTGCATGAAAAGGTTGAGAAATAATTTTAGTAAAGCCAATAGAAATACAAAGAATAACACAATTGATACTATGTCAAAAAATAATTCTACGAAGGAGATCTTGTTTGGCTACACCAAAGACTCAAATGAGAAGAAAAGAAGCTAAAGCCCATCTCATATAGACTATTCAAAGTCTTGAAATGGAATGGAGACAATGTATACCAACTTGAGTTGCTATCCTATATATAGATATACTCAGTTGTGAATATCAAGAATTTGAAGATGCTTGAGCCATCAATTTCATATAAAAAGTTGAAGGAGACATTATCTTTAGAACACTTAGGTGTCTGACTAAGAGAATCCCCTTAAATAAGATATTATCATCAAGAAGAAGTCTACTACCAACCGATGAGACATCATAGTTGTTTTCTGAATTAAATATAAAGGGTATAAACCAAGTTTAATAAGATAATTCTCTAAAGAAGCTATTGAGAATCCCCAACTTCAAAATAAGATTCAATATGATATAAATCACCTAATTGGGAGAGTTATGATGGTTAGGATCGTAAAGATACTAATTGAAATAAAGTTTCGATTCCAAAATTTTAATTAAAAAATATGTATAAAAAATATATTTAACTTGGAATGTGGATAATAGTAGTGAGCAACTAAATCAGTTAGTAATAGCAAGGAAAAAATATAGAGAGAAATGCAAACCAGATTTATAGTGGTTTGATCATCCCGACCTATGTTCATTCCCTATTCTTCTTCATTCGAGACCACTAGCTTTTACTATCGATCTTATTTTTAATGAGCAAAGATTAACTATCCTTATTACAACTATTTCTCTTTTTCACAAGCTTAGGAGAGAACTTTTACACCCCTTTTTGATGAAAGACCTCACACCTCCTTGAGAATAACTTTTAAACTTAAAGAGGAAGAGACTCAACACTTTTCAAAAGTTTACAATACTTTAAAATCATAAGCTTTCCATGCTTTGTCAAGCAAACATGAGTGAAGTTTTATAAGTCCCAAATGGCTTTAAAAATAAAGTCAAAATTTTAAATCCTCATATTTTTGGGGTACTAGCGGTACCATTGCTTGTGTTGGGTGATACTATTGCCTGACAAAGCTTGGGAACTAGGGCTCCAGTGGTACTATCGTCTGACATAGCTTGAGAGAGTGTGTTCTAGCGATACCACCACTTAATTGGGTGGTTGTACCACTTGACACCAGGTACCGCTGACCCTAGTAGTACTATCGTCGAGTTTCTCGAAAAAGTATAATACGTACTTTCCAACTCACAAGTGGTACCACTGCCTAGGTTAGTGGTGCTATCACTTGGGCTGAGGGTGCCACCGCCTAGCTCAACCTCAGGTCACTAAATTGGCCTAATTCAACCTAGATTTAGGCCCAATGGGCTCTTAATTAAATTGACATAATTACATCCGAAACTAACTCAATTAGACTCTAAACTACTTCAATCAAAATTTAATAATCATGGAGCCTATGTTGTCCCGCATGTTATTAGTTCATCCGGCATTTCATCCGAACTTCCAACGCATCGTCCTTTCCTTCAGCGTATTGCCCGATCTATCGACATGTTGAACTCCTACAACATTCAATCTTCTTGGCGCAATGCTCGATCTTTCTAGTCTGATGCCTGATCTCTTTGGGTTAGGATAAAAACTTAATAATAAAAATTAAATATGATTTAATTAATAAAATAAGAAATAATAAAGAATTAGATATTATCCAAAATTGTATTTGATGCTAGGAATGATTCCACCCCTTTGTGTAGGTTTATGGTTAAGTCTATTTTTCAAAGATAATACCGAGATTTCTTCTTTGCACACAACCACATGGAGGTTGACGTAGTATCAAAAGTTAAAAAATGAGTAATAGAATTAAGAAAGATGTTAAGAAAAATTTAGAAGAAAAGTTTTTTAGTCAGAAGAATATAAGAAATGAGAAGAGATGTATTTTTCTTATAAACCAAGCGATATATTCACTTTATATGGAAGAGTAGAATCTATAACTGCTAAAGGTAATAATGATACTTCTATATGTAATCATAGCCTATAATTATCATTAAAAACATCAAATAAATCAACAAAGTGTAATGGACACCATTAAATAATTAAAGGAAATAAATAAAAAAAATTATTTTTTTTATTTTTATTTTTAAAATAAAATCTCAACACTTTGTTTCATTGGTGAAGGTTTGAAATGACTAATTTATCCTTCATTTAACTATAACTTTCATATATGATGACATGTTCGAGACTTTTCCGTCAAAGACATGGATTGGATAGTAGGGATTACGTTGTTTTAATTTAGAAACTTTAAAGACCTAAACGTGCAAGTCCATGACCCAGATGAGATGAGAAGATACCTAAGGAGGGAATATGCAATTTTATTGGAAAAAAAACATATAAGTTTTGATTTTGGGTAGCCGTCATTGTTGGAGAGAATGGTTGGATTGCCATAAATCGACACCAAAAGACCATAATTTTGAGGATAAATCATGGTTGTACCTAAGGTTGGATTGTCTCAAGTATGTGTTTATAGACATGCAATATGGTCTTGTAGTACATGCAATACAGTCTTATTATACTCTACTATTTGATATAATCACATTTATGTTTCAGTTTCACCTTCGGACGTACGTACGCTTACGAGTTCAACCTCGTAAACATGTATGTGTCTGTGAGGACAAAATACCACATTTTTAAGGTCCACACAAGAGAAGAAAAACAAAAAGAAAAGGAGATGTGAAATCAATTTTCTTATGATGGGTGGTAGTTGTGCTTTCCATATCTAACTACGACAGAAGCATTACTTTTCTTTTAGCGAGACGTGCATCGTGGGAGACAACCCACCACCTTTTTAAAGTCTTCCGTATCAATTTTTCTATAAAGTAATAGTGCCTCTTCTTTCCATTGTTACAGAATTACGATCAACGACGCCACTTTGATCGCCTCCTGCTTTACCATCCTGTCCGTCAATAGAGTATGTATTCTCTGCATCGCCATCGATCAGATCTCACCCTTGGCTTGCTACAGTGAAACTGATTCAAGGCCATATATATATATATATATATATATATATATATATATATATATATATATATATATATATAT